CACAGACTAAGTTAGTTATTTTTGAATTCAAATTGGTGGAAAATCTAAAGAAAAGAAGTGAGATCTTTGCAAGTAAGTGAAAATACATAACCATTTTAAAAAGATAATTTAAGAAAAAGAGCAGAAATCACATCAGAAAGAAATGTAAAAAGTATATGGTCTAACATGAAAATGTTCAGATGAAAATATGTTTGGAAGAAAAATAAAAATAGGTTTAGTAGAAAAATAAAAAATATGTTTGGAAGAAAAGTTGAACGTTAAATTTGTAAAGGTAGCATAGAAACATTAAAATGTTCTTAAAATTGAGGGGAAAAATTACTTGACCAGGATGTTAAGATTTAAAAAAATGTAGCCCAAAAATTATGCAGTGTATTTATTATGAATATGTTTTTGTTTTAGGCCAAGAAAGGGACAGTAAATAGGAAAGTAAATGTAAGTAATATAAGTAAAGGAAAGTAAATGTAAGTAATAGGACAGTAAAATACAGGACAGTAAATGGTACAACAGATGTAATACTTATTGCAAGACGAAATCAAAATATAATTTTGGAAAAAAAAAAATCTCTGGATAGCATTTGCGGACCTTAAAAAAGCATTTGACAGAGTACAAAAAAGTAGTGTAATGAGCTTTGAGATATGTAGCTAAATATATACATATATATATAATATATGTATATTATATATATATATATATATATATATATATATATATATATATATATATATATATATATATATATAATATATATATAATTCTTCTCCATGGTTTTCCTCACATTGTGATGCTGCAATTGCCAATCGAAACCATTACTTCCATATCTATCAGCAAAACAATTCTCCAGAAAACAGACGTCTCTTTATTACTGCTAGGAATCATTGTAAAAAGGTTTTGTCTAACGCCAAAACCCGCTATTCTCAGATCATGAAATCTCGTATTTCATCACAAAAATTAGGCTCTCGTGACTTCTGGAGAATCTTTAATAGTATCAATAATAAGGGCAAGTCTGTAATTCCACCTCTTTTGTACGGTTCAGACTTTGTCACCTCACCTAAAGACAAAGCTGAATTGTTTGCCAAGAACTTTTCATCAATATGATCGCTTGATGCCACTAGTTGCGTTTTACCTGATATACCCGTCAAACAGGTTGATCCATTGCTCGACATTTGTATCACTCCAGCTTCTGTATCTAAAGTGATTTCCCGCTTAGACTCTTCTACAGCTTGCAGCCCGGACAACATACCTGTTATAGTCTTGCAGAAGTGTTCTCCTGAGCTGTCGTCTATCTTTTCAAAACTATTCAACAAGTGCTTCTCAGAGTCTTGTTTTCCAGCCTGCTGGAAAGCAGCATCTGTTATCCCTTTTTTTAAAAATTCTGGAGAGCGATCTGACTCATCTAACTACCGTCCCATTAGTCTTCTTCCTATCATAAGCAAGGTTTTTGAATCTTTAATTAACAAACACTTAATCTCTCATCTCGAATCTCATAACCTACTTTCTGATCATCAGTTTGGATTTCGATCTTCTCGTTCTACGGCTGATTTGCTATCAGTAATAACCGATAGGTTTTATCGCGCATTAGATAAAGGTGGAGAGGTTAAGGCCATTGCTCTTGACATTTCTAAAGCGTTTGATAAACTTTGGCATGCTGGTCTCCTCCATAAGCTTTCTTCTTATGGTGTATCTGGAAACATCTTTAAGATTATTGAATCCTTTCTTTCCAATCGTAGTATAAAAGTTGTCCTTGATGGACAGCACTCTTCTTCTTATTCTGTAACCTCAGGGGTTCCCCAAGGTTCAATTCTTGGCCCTATACTCTTTTTAATTTACATTAACGATCTTTCAGATATTCTCACATCTAAGGTGGCATTGTTTGCTGATGATACTACCATTTATTCTTGTCACGATAAGAAGCCAACTCCCTCTGATTGCTTGCAGGGGGTATCTGAGCTCGAAAAGGATCTCACTTCTGCTACAGCATGGGGCTCGCAGTGGCTGGTGAACTTTAATTCAGATAAAACTCAATTTTTTTCGGCCAATTGTTATTGCAATAATTTAGACCTTCCTATATTTATGAACGGTAATGTACTAGATGAGTCTCCTACCCTTCATCTTCTAGGATTAACTCTTACTTCTGATCTTTCTTGGAAACCTTAAATTAAATCCGTTGCAAAATTAGCATCTGCTAAAGTTGCTTCTCTTTATCGAGCTTGTCACTTTCTTACTCTGGATTCTATTCTCTATCTCTATAAATCTCAAATCCGGCCTTGTATAAAATACTGTTGCCATATCTGGGGTGGATCTTCTAATGATGCTCTTTCTCTTTTAGACAAGGTGCAAAAACGCATTGTAAACATAGTTGGACCTGCTCTTGCAGCCAACCTTCAACCTCTGTCACATCGCCGTAATGTTGCTTCTCTTTCTCTTTTCTACAAATACTATAATGGGCACTGCTCCAAAGAGCTAGCGTCTCTTGTGCCATCTACTAAAATTCATTCTCGTGTTACTTGTCATTCAATTAAGTCTCATCCTTTTTCTGTTACTGTTCCTAAGTGCTCCAAAAACTCTTATTCGTCTAGTTTTTTTCCTTGAACATCAGTTCTTTGGAATTCGCTTCCTTCATCTTGCTTTCCTGATTCATATAATTTGCAATATTTTAAGTCGTCTGTCAATCGTTATCTTGCTCTACAATCTTCATCTTTCTCTTCCAGTAACTTCCAACACTAATTAGTGGTTGCTTGCAACCTTGTTGGAAGCGAAGATAATTAAAAAAAAAAAAATATATATATATATATATATATATATATATATATATATATATATATATATATATATATATATATATATATGTATATATGAAATATATATATATATATATATATATATATATATCATATACATACATATATATATATATATATATATATATATATATATATATATATATATATATATATATATATATATATATATATATATATATATATATATATATATATATATGTATACATATATATATATACAGATATATATATATATATATATATATATATATATATATATATATATATATATATATATATATATATATATATATATATATATATATATATATATATATATATAGATATATACACACACACACACTTTTACTATATTTAGCTATACAGATTGCAAAACAACAGTCATACCTCTATACAGATTGCAAAACATACAGTCATAACAACTATCATACCTCATATGATTTTTTTTGATGAATAAAAATTCTTTCGTTGATAATATCAAGAGTGGTGCTCACTACGGATGAAATTGAATTGAAATATTTTTCCCATAAATATCGCAGCTAATGATTTTAAAGTCAATTTTTATTACAAACTATAATTAGTTATTATTTTCACTAAATATTTTTAAATGTAAAAACAAAAAGAAAAAAATGTTACTCTTTCCTAAGGCTGTTAATAATAGGTTGGATTCAAACCCACTTTGTTTATAGTGAGTCTGGCTCTACTTTTTCTGTTTCAGATCCCATCAGACCTGAAGAAAAAACAGGTTGGGTCTGGATTTTATAATGTCTAGATAAATTAAACCGGAAGCACGGTAAATTTTCAATTACAAATACAATTAAGAATTAATTGAATTAAGCAACAATGATGTGCTCATAATCAAGAAAGATCGTAAGATCAGACATCAAACAGACGGAATACCAAATAAAAATTAGAATTCACCAGACTAATTTTAGTAATCATTAAAAAACTATGTAATTATGTGATAAGGAAAAAACGTTTGACCAAGTCTGAAAAAAAAAAAAGAAAAAAGAATTGGTTCTGTATTGCATAGAGTACTTTTCCCATTTCATATTTTTTCGTATTGAAAATCTCAAGAGAGTAAGTGAAAATATACAGCTTGTTCATTTTATAAAATAATAAATTTTAATTTAAAATTTACTTCATTTGTGTAATAAGCCTTAAAATATTTTTTCTTTTTTTTTTTTTTTAATTGCAAAAGATACACAATGCATATCTGCACCCCTGCCCTGCACCCCATGCTGCAGAAATTTAATCTTTTTTGTTCTCTTGCTCAAACGCATTCATACCTCACACAGACCTAATATATTAACAGCCTTTATTTTATGTTTAATTAATGATTATGCTCCTGATTTTAATGTACATTTGTACCTAATTTCAAAAAAAAATTACCTGATATCTTTTCAAAATGATTAGATTTTCTTTAATATTATTCAAGATACTCATAACATCACCAATTTGTTGCTCTCTAACTATAATAGCAGCCCTAATAAAAATATACTGTGATATATAAATAAAAACATACTGTAATAAATATAAACAAAAATATAGTGTAACAAACAAAGGTTTGATCGTAATAATATATGAGTAAAAAATATTTTGCTTGAGAACTTGAGAAGATAATTTAAAAAATTTTTAAAAATGCAAAAATATGCATCAAAGGACTAGACCGAGCTGTCAAGCCCAAGTGAAATAAGGGAAAAATTAGAAAGAGAGAAAGGATAAAAAAATTAAAAATATATATTGAACAGATCTGTTCTGGACAAAATGTAGACACTATAGTAAAGCGTGTAGTAAAAAATAATAACGATAATTTAGACACCACACATGTAATAAAAACAAAACAGGACACATAAGTAACCATAAATCTACAGTAAATACAAAGGTTCAACATACTTAAAGCAAATATACATATGTATAGATATATCAATATTTAAAATGAATAAATATAAAATGATTGGAGCTATAAGATAAAGCAAAAAACATTATTGCTTTTGTTTAATCATAATTTATGTAGTGATCTGTGTAGTAATAAACTTTCCTTAGAATCACATTTATTATTATCAGCATTTCAAGTTACGGGATAAACATCATCGCCATTTATGATTTACCCCGTGATTTATGCCAACTCCATACTGCAGTAAAAAAGGACTTCACTACAAACAGCCAAAACGCTAACTTCACCCAAATTTGTAAAGCATTAATATTTTTGAGGAAATAATGTGGATGGTAAGAGATACAAATTCAATACAGAATATATATATATATATATATATATATATTCTGTATTGAATTCGCATCTATCTATCTATCTATACATATATATATATATATATATATATATATATATATATATATATATATATATATATATATATATATATATATATATATATATATATATATATATATATATATATATATATATATATACAGTACCTGGCCACAATATTATGATCACCTACAGTTTTTGTGTATTTTTAACTTCAAGGGTTTGTAAAAAGTATAAAAAAAGTACAATTGCAATATTAGTTATATTTTATTGATAAAACATGTTTCCTTAATAACAAAATAATATTTTAATATCAATATACACACATTTTAACAAACAATTACTCTTTTTGATTGCAAGTCATAAAAAAATATTAATATTTTGTCACTCCTCCTTTCAACGAAATGACTTTAGCTATTCGGTCTGGCATACTTTTAATACAGTTTATTGCTGCTGTCTTTTTAATTTTTTCATTGTGGTGCCAATGAAAAAATTAAGACAGGTTTGTTGAAACCTCAGAAGAGATTTCCTTTTTGAGAATGTTCCACAAATTCTCAATCGGATTCAGGTCAGGAGAGTTCCCTGGCCCATCTAAAACGGGGATATTTTTTGTTTTAAGAAAGTTTGTGATCCTTTTAGCTTTATGGCATGGAGCACTATCATGCATAAACATAAATGTATTGTTATTTGGAAACCATTCTTGTATTTGGGGGATAAGTTGACTCTCCATAACCTCTTGATACTGTATTTGGTTCATCATCCCATTGACAATATATAGTCTTCCTGTGCCTTTACCACTGATAACTGACCACACCATAACTTTAGTTGGATGTTTAATAGTTTGTACAATGCAATCTGGATGATATTTTTCGTTTGGTCTTCTTCGGACGAAGGTGGTTTTGTCCAACAAGATCTCAAAAATTGATTCGTCTGAAAAACACAATACATCAATAAAAATTTCATCCCTGAACCATATCCAGCCAACCCAGCCATACTTCAAATTACCTATTATGGACACTTTTTAAGCAATAAAACATGTCAACACTTTTTAGAGATAAAACGATATAACCACACAATATACTTTAAAATAGATGTATAGATGTAGATAGTAAATGTTAGAAAAAAAAGCACATTTAAAAACTTTCTAAAAAAAATGTAACAATAACATATTTAATAGCAGTACAAAAATTTAAATATGTATTTTTTAACTATTAAATATTACATTAATAATAAAAAAAATCATTAAATAAATATTTTCTTATATAAGTACTTTATTAACTCTCTAAAAACAACTATTATTTTTCTTTTATCATTATTTAAATATTTTGGTTATTATATTACTGCTATTACAGTATACATATATCATTATACAGACAATTTAATGGAATAAGTTTAAAAAATTGGGATACCTGCTCCAATCTATCACTTCATTAAATGGAAGAACATAGTCATTCATCATAATAACTGGAATGCAACCCTGAAAATAATTAATCAAGAGCTTCATCAAACCTTTGATAATCAAACCTTCAGAAAAAATCCTTATAGATAATAACAATTGCTATTATTATCCTTATTAAGGATTATAATAATTATTGTTATTATCTATAAGGATTTCTTATAGAACTTCTTGGTTTTAACTACCATTCTTGATGATATCAATGATATGTCAAAATGTTTTGTAATTTATCAGCTGATAATTTGCTTTTAGTTTTAATTTGATAATATGTTATTAACACATAATAAAAAAGCTTACCTAACAATTATTTTAACAATCATCAGCATGAACGTATAAAATAGTTTTTTATAACTAATTAAAATATTATTTTTATTAAAGAATTATTAAATTAAAATATTGTAATATTTGCGTTTTAACTTTTTAGGGGTGCACCCTCCGTTTTTTTCCCGGCTGCCCTGCATGCGACTAAAATAAGTTTTATTTCTGAATTGAGTTGTCCACTGTGATAATGAGTAGTCTGGTATAAAAGTTTTTTTGGGGGTATTTTTTCTTGGGTGAAAATACTGAAGAAAAAAAATTTAAACGTCTTACTATAAAAATACCTCTACTAAGAAATGGTTTAATTAAAAGTAAATTAATTAATTAAAAAAATAAAACATTATAAGGGATCGTCCATAAATTACACAACATTAAATTTATTTAAAAAGCAGAAGTAGGAGATCTTAAGCTTTTTTACGCGGTGATTTTTATTAAACTTAATGCACTATTTTGAGTTTTTATTTAACTTAGAGCTCTGTGAGGGAAAACTTTTGATCTTTTTTGTTTTGTTTACTGTGAAATTTAGTGTTGCAATATGGATAATCCCTAACTTGTTAGAAAATATTGTTAAGTAACTTTAGTTACAAAGAGATATTGGTAAAGAGAAAACTATAAATACAACTTTTAAAGATAATTTTTGTTGTAGTCGATATCAGTTTCATGTTTCATGTCGTTTCTTGATGTTAATCTTAACAAAGGTTTCATTATGTGAAACAAAAAAGGTGAAAGCCAAAACTGCAAAGAAACATTTTATAAAAAGAAAAATATTCTATTATTCTCTCCCAAACTTCAATCAAATTTTCATTTAGTTGAATGTTTAAAAAATGTTTTTAATGTTTTAAACATTTTATTAAACTTGACTTGTTTACTTTTAGAAAAAAAAAGAATTTCCACATGTATCATTAATTGCATTTTAATAATGATTTTTCACATGCATCTTAATGTTTTTTATTTTGGTAATTTTCTTTGACAAACTTTGTTTGTTTGTTAAAATAAAAATTTATTTTACTAATAAATAACAAAAAAAAATTCAATGTTATTAAAATTGAGAAGAAAGATGCTTCAAAATGCAACATTAAAAAAGCAGTACATTTGCACTTTGAAGTATTAAGTCGCTTGCCGGCTTCTATTTATTAAGTTTAGCAAAATTATATAACGCATCATAGTGTACTCATTATTAAATGAAAAGTATACTACTTTAAATGCTTTTTAAAGTTTCCTTTTAAAGAATCACAAGGAATAAATTCTTCATAGATCAAAATATTGTTTTATCAATAAACATACTTTTAAAAGAAACAAACTGTCTGGTCGACATGGCGGGCTATTGACAGGCTTTTTTTTTTAATTTCAGTTGCTCAAGAAGAAAACAATTCGTACTGTGCCACTGGAACACCACGAGGGTACACCCCTGCTTTCACCTTTTTACTTTAACTTTTTTAAGTATCACATTAAGTAAAAACTATTACTAAAGCTAATATCATAATAGTACTATATACATTATATCATGCTAGTATTATATACATTACTTGCTCATTAAAATATAACCTGCTCGTTACAATATAACTTAAACTATCGTGTAAACTATAACAGTAACTCATGCCATTTTAAATTTCGCCAAACAATAAAATTATAAGATGATATTTAAATATGATAGATATCATGTTAAAAAAGTAACAACAGACCTCTTCACAGTTCTGATAATTTTGTGTGTGCGTTTATTTAATAGTACGCCATAATTCCTTATGCACAAAATTACATAAAAATTTAAATGCACAGATATATTATGAAAACATTCTTGAAAGAAACAACAGTTTACACTTTTTTTCATAATAAAGACATTGAATTGCTTTATATAAGTTTATTTTAACCATTTTAAATCTAAAATTTATACACTTTATATGTATTTGTTATAGAATATATATGAAAGAAATATAAGCTCTTAAAGAGTGTGAAAATGCGAAATAATAATTTTTTATATCTATCTATCTATGTGTGTATATATATATATATATATATATATATATATATATATATATATATATATATATATATATATATATATATATATATATATATATATATATATGTATATATATATATATATATATATATGTATATATATATATATATATATCTATATATATATATATATATATATATATATATATATATATATATATATATATATATATATATATATATATACATATATATATATATATATATATATATATATATATATATATATATATATATATATATATATATATATATATATATATATATATATATGTATATATATATGTATATATATATATATATATATATATATATATATATATATATATATATATATATATATATATATATATATATATATATATATATATATATATATATATATATATATATATATATATATATATATATATATATAGATAGATAGATACCAATTAAAAGTAACCTTAACAGTTAACAAAGGAGAGCTCTTTTTGAAATTAGGAAAGATATGAATATTCAGATATATCCATTTGACAAAGGATCTGGATTAGTTCGAATTGATTGAAATAGCGCTCTAGAAAAAATTAAAGAGCACTTAGGAGATTCAAAAAAGTTAAATTACGAACCAACAATTCAAATTCTTCACAAAGTTCAAATCACTCTCAGAAAGTTAAATAAACTAGGACATTTTACCAAAAAAGAATATAAAAATATCTATCCAAGTGACGCATTACCACTACGTTTATATGGAGTAATTAAAGCCAATAAGCCTGAAAAAGGTTACCCAATGAGGTTAAATGTAAGCACCATTAGTACACCTACATACAACATCTCTAAATATATAGTCAATATGATACAACTCATTCTAAACTTAAATAAAACGAGTTGTAAAAATTTGCAACAATTTGTGGATACAGCAAGATTATGGAAAATTGATAAGAATGAGGTTCAGGTCTCCTTTGATATTGCTAATTTGTACCCTTCGGTCCAGATTAAAGAAGCAATTATTATACTAGTTGAAAGATTAAGAAACAACCAGAGCTTTATATCTAAATTAACTTTTGAAGAAATCAGGTTACTTTTAGAATTTTGTCTTTCTCCTTGCTACTTTATATATGAAAATGATATTCATGAACTTGAAAACTCCGGACCAATTGGGTTAGCTCTTATGGTGGTTGTATGAGTTGTATCATATTGGTGGTAGTTGCTGAGTATTTTTTACAATATCATGAAAGTAATTCTCATTTTTTTTTTTTTTTTTTAACATCTTTGCTTCCAACAAGGCTGCAAGCAACCACTGATTAGTGTTGGAAGTTACTGGAAGAGAAAAGATGAAGATTGTAAAGCAAGATAACGATTGACAGACGACTTAAAAGATTGCAAATTATATGAATCAGGAAAGTAAGATGAAGGAAGTGAATTCCAAAGAACTAATGTTCGAGGAAAAAAACTAGACGAGTAAGAATTTTTGGAGCACTTAGGAACAGTAACAGAAAAAGGATGAGACTTAATTGAATGACGAGTAACACGAGAATAAATTTTAGTAGATGGCACAAGAGACGCTAGCTCTTTAGATCAGTGTCCATTATAGTATTTGTAGAAAAGAGTAAGAGAAGCAACATTACGACAATGTGACAAAGGTTGAAAGTTGGCCGCAAGAGCAGGTCCAACTATGTTTACAATGCATTTTTGCACCTTGTCTAAAAGAGAAAGGGCATCATTAGAAGATCCGCCCCAGATATGGCAACAGTATTCCATACAAGGCCGGATTTGAGATTTATAGAAATAGAGAATAGAATCCAGAGTAAGAAAGTGTCGAGCTCGATAAAGAGATGCAACTCTAGCAGATGCTAATTTTGCAACAGATTTGATATAAGGTTTCCAAGAAAGATCAGAAGAGTTAATCCTAGAAGATGAAGGGTAGACGACTTATAAATGGTAGTATCATCAGCGAACAATGCCACCTTAAATGTGAGAATATCTGGAAGATCGTTAATGTAAATTAAAAAGAGTATAGGGCCAAGGATTGAACCTTGAGGAACCCCTGAGGTTACAGAATAAGAAGAAGAGTGCTGTCCATCAAGGACAACTTTTAAACTACGATTGGAAAGGAAGGATTCAATAATCTTAAAGATGTTTCCAGATACACCATAATAAGAAAGCTTATGGAGAAGACCAGCATGCCAAACTTTATCAAACTTTCATTGACGCTTAACAATAACATCCCTGTCAAATCATTTAAAAGATATGTTGATGATATACACTCAAGATTCTAGGTAGAGGAAGATGTGCAAAAGTTTTTAGATCTACTTAACAAACAACACTAAAGTATTCAATACACAATGGAATCTGCTGACTTGACCAATACATTAAACCATCTTGACGTTTCAGTTATTAACAATAAAACGGGTACATTTAGTTTTAAGATACATCACAAAAATGCAATCACAAACGTTCAAATAAAACTAAACTCATGCCATGACAATTATCAATGGTGTCTTTATTGGTTTTGCCCATAGAGCACTACGATTATGTACAATAAATAACATTGATGAAGAGTTTTCTTTTATTATCGATGTATTTGCAGAAAATGGCTATGAAAGGAAAAGTCTGGAAAAACAATTAAGTCTACGAAAGAAAATGTTAACAACAAAAAAGATCTCACGAAAATCAACATTTTTTAATGTCTCCAAAAAGATTTG